GCGGAAAAGTCGAATACGAGCGCGAAAGACTGCTGGGAATCGCTATGAAAATTCATTAATTTTGTAGCGATTCCCAGCAGCCTTTCGCGCTCGTATTCGACTTTTCCGCTTTGCTATAAGTGGACAACCTTAATCTAAGATCTAATAATAAGTATGACATGATTAACTCCCACATATTCAAGGAGGGGTGTGTTTTAAGCCCTCCTTACTAACATAATCAGCGCAACCTACGCATGCAGCATGCTATAAAAAAATTGTATCTTTGTAAAAAAGCGACGTTTTTTGCGGATGCATGTATTTTAAATATACAGCACGTACCTAAACAAGGAAACTTGCCTTGTTCCTATTCCTGTGAACTATTCAATTATTTGCCTTGGCTTCATTAGATCGCATGCATTTGCATGTAATAGTAATAGTAATAGTAATAGTAATAGTAATAGTAATAGTAATAGTAATAGTAATAGTGATTACTCCGGCACGTGCCAAAGAACTTGCATTATTGTCTACGTTTAATATTTCATGAAATCGTTTAATATCTCTTGAAAGTCGATTTCTCATGTCGGTAACGAATGCTAGTGTTCTCTTGAGTTGCTCACGGTGGATATATATCCTAAAGTTTTAAATGCTGTAAAATATGATAGTATGAATATTAGTATGAATAAAGATCTTGAGCTGATGGGTAGGTAGGTAGGTAGGTAGGTAATACTTTATTTAAAATTAACAGAAAGAAGAACACGCTAGCCCCATCAACTCTAGGCTGGTTTCCATGGGGGGCGTGTTTAGATCTTAAAAATCATTAAAAGGAAAATTTAAACTAAATATTAGTACACACATACTGTACACGTTACTATACAAATAATTAGGAAGCATGTCGCTGTCCAACAATTGATTTAAACGAATGAGGCGACTCGGCCAATTTTGCTTCGTTTGGGAGTTGATTCCAGAGCATAGCGCCGCTATATTTAAAACTTTTTTTAAGAAATTCTCGTTTCGGTTTAGGAATTGTTAGATCAGTTGCTGTGTTTCGAAGATGATAATTAGTTTGATCTATTTCTTATCGGAATCCAATCAGGCGAACCTGGAGTCGTCTGGCTCGTCATGTGATCACATCACTGCATCGTCTGTTACAGTATAGAGTAGCCTGCGTGCACCATGACTTTAAATGGAGAGAAGTCAGTCTGCGAATCAGGGAACAATACCGTGTTCGCGCCATCTTTTGAATTGCATGGATTTATGTATTCAAACGTGATTGGCTATTGCTCAAAAGCCTAACACGCGCGCTACGATTGGCCAATTCGTTAATATATATTTGGTTCAAACAACATTCCAGAATGAAAAAAATGAGCAATGTTGTGTGTAATTTATGCACAAACCCGTACAAAAGATTTGAAAGGGTTCTCATTGAGGTTCCCAAGATGCCATTTTGCTAAATATATTATTTTGTGGAACTGAATCTATTAACGAATTAATGGCCAATCGTAGCGCGTTTTTTAGGCTTCTAAGCAATAGCCAATCACGTTTGAATACAGAAATCCATGCAATTCAAAAGATGGCGCGAACACGGTATTGTTCCCTGATTCGCAGACTGACTTCTCCCCATTTAAAGTCAGGCTGCACGCAGACTAAGTATAGAGAGGTTCAGATCTGACTTTCACCTTCGACTACCGCTATATCTCTCACAGGTTTAATACGCATTTCATTGGTTAATCGGGTAGAATATAAAAACATCTGATCTGTTTAAACACCTGATCAACTACGAGAACTCATACCCAGACCTAAATCTGCGCCGTCGATTCCTAGCAAGTGTCGGAAGTATGTTTTGGTCGCCACCGACTCGGAGACCACGTCATGTGATCGACCAGCACCCACCGCGCTGGAAGAAATGTTAATGTCACAAAGATTTCCAAAGTCCAACATGGGGCAGCTTAGATCAAGGAGTTGTAAGGCGATAAGGCGGCCGTATTCTATTCAGAAAATGCAGAATGTTAATATGTCATGTAAATAAATTTTGTTCGAAGTTCTTTTTCTTATTGCGACTCGGAGTTTTATTTCTACAACATGTTTTTAACAACTACCGCAACTTATTTGTTTCCACGCAGAGCGGCCTGTAACTCGCTCGCGCACGGAAGGCCAAGTAACAGGGGATTTTCAAATGTTTAATGTTTCCTAAAAAATTGCCCAGGTTTCTCGCATTTGGCGGATATTAAATCGGAGACTTTGGGTCGAAAACAAGGATATTCAGAAAAAAATTTCGAACATGTCATTCAACTTCATTTGAACACCACAATATATTATTCCATTTCGTACACAGCTAAGAATACTGATCTCATAGTAGCTAAGAATGACAAGTAATACAATATCCGAAGTTGACTATTATTTTTCTGTAAGTAGAAATCCTCCCTTCCCCTCATTAAATAAAGTTTATTAATCCATAGGAATATCATTAAAGCACTCTGACGTTTTCACTGCATGACCACATGATCTTCGACTTTGTATTAACATTTGAATCGAGGAAGCAAAGCTCTGGCTTGAAGGTCTTTCGGTACTGCCATGCTTGAAAATTTTCTTGAAAACCTTTCTGCAATGACGTTGAACCTCCTTGCTCTGAAACGCGTGTAAAAATGGATTGAAGCAACACGACGAAAATCCTAGAATTATACCAAACTGATTGCCATATTGAAATAAAAGATACATAACATTATTCGGAGTCCAACAGATCAAAAACGTCAGCAATACTATAAATACAATTCTTACAGTCCTTTCTTTGCTTTTCACTATTTTAATCCGTTGTCTTTCGTTTCCTAGGGCATTTTTTAACGTTGAATCTAGCCGGTTTAAACGTTTCTTTATACGATAAAAATTTATAATAAAAATCACGGCTGGGAGTATGTATTGGCTGATGAAAAGACACGAGTATATGAATATGTTTGGCAACTGTTCAGGCCAGTAGTAACAACCAGTTCCCATGTAGCGAATTCCAACTAAAACTGGATCTTCCCTTACAAACCCAAAGAACCATGCTATAGTAAACCAATATATACGTATAGTTCTTCCTCGTTGTGCCCAAACGTGTTTTAAAAGGTTTCGTGATTGCTGCATATCTTTCTCGACTTGTCAAAAGCCTTTGACACAATTAATCACAAGATTCTGATTCAAAAACTAGAACACTATGGTATACGCGGAATAACAAGACAATGGTTTGAAGATTACTTAAAAAAAAACAGAAAACAGATTGTTAAATATAACCAAGTTAAATCAAAAGCAATGATAATTAAAAGTGGTGTCCCACAGGGGTCAATTCTTGGACCAATTTTATTTCTTCTCAATGATATTGAAAATTATAGCAAATTAACTTCATTTATATTATTTGCAGATGACACTAATATATTCTATAGTAACAAGTGTCTAAAAACACTTAATAGGATTATGCAAACTGAAATTGATAGACTTGATAAAGTTGCAGAATGGTTAAATGCGAATAAGTTATCTGTAAATAATACAAAAACAAAATAAAAAAGCAAATCCGATCTTCAAATAAAAAAGCAAAGCAAAACATTAAAATTAACATTAATGCATGGTAATAATATTGAACAAGTTAGAAATACAGTATTCATTGGTATTGTCATTGATGAATGTTTGACCTGGAAAGATCATATGGAAAGATCATAGGCTAAGCCTAAGGTAGCAAAGAAATTAATTAGAGCTGCTGGTATAATAGCTAAAATACGACATTTCGTAAACCGAAATACTGTAAAACTGATATACTATGCATTAGTCTATTCACACTTGATTTATGGTAACCTAACATGGGGTAATATTTACAAAAACAGACTAAAAAAATAACGAATATACAAAAAAAATAGTGCGTCTAATGGCATTCAAATCTTACTTTGATCACAGTGAGCCAATTTTCAAAGATTTAAATATCCTCAACATCTTCAAAATCAACGCTATTTAACTGCCTTATTTATGTTTCGATACCATCATCTTAATAACCAGATGATCTTGATACGCGGAAAAGTACTGGCACTAGTTGTCAAATAGAAATCCATTGTATAATTAAAACAACTGAATATCTCCTGTAATATACTTTATTTCGATTCCATATTTTTGTCAGAGCTAGAGTTCTCATAACCAAACATAATTACAAAATTTCAACTAGTTTCATAAAGAATAACGAAAGATATAATTGACTGAATACATCAAAATGGATTTCTATTCGGACAACCCTTTCTGAGCGCTGATTGGCTAAAATACGAACACGAGATCACCTGGAATTTACAAGAATTTTTTAAAGATTATTTTGTGACAAACAACCAAATTCATCAATATAACACGAGAAATGCATCAAAACGTCACAAATGTAACAAATTATGTAGAACACACTCTCAAATAAAGGAGTTGACTGCGTATGGAATTCGTTAGAAACAAAATTTATAGATATAAATTTTTACAGCACTTTCAAAAAGCAATTAAACAACATTTTTTACTATACAATGTATAGGACATGCTATAAAACATTCTGCTATATGACAAAATTAATAGTATATTGTAGTCTAATTCTTATAAGAACCCAAATACATCTACAACATTGGTATTCACTTCTATATTCCTATAATAAGAACAATTTCTCTTCTTTTTCTCTCTTGTAAATACATATATATTCCTTTAATATTGTGATTGACTGTAAATAATTTATTATATAATATAATACAAACTAGCCTGAACTAGAGACCTAAATAAAAAGTCTACGAAGATTTCTGGTAGGTCTCTAGCGTCTAGCCCGCACTCTACAATTATTGTAAATATACTACAAATAAATTTATTATACATGGGGAAAATTTTTTTAAATAAAAAAAAATTAAAAAATAGATAAACAATTTTGGAACAGCGGTCCCAGTTCGAACGCGCAAGCCTCATATGTTTGCCTAGAGCCTTTGCAAGGGTATTAAATCAGAGACTTTGGGTCGAATCTAGGATGTTCAGAAGAAAAAAAATTGAGCATGTGTTTCAATAATTTCAATTTCATTTGAACCTGGGCCACAATATATTATTCCATTTCGTACACAGCTAAAAAGACTGATCTCAGTCACAGTGCTAAGAATGACAAGTAATACAACATCAAGTTCTTTGTGGGATATTTTTGAGGGCCAATTTTTCGATCAATTTCTTTTGAATTGTGAGCAGCTAGCTGCGCTCAAGCAGAACTGATTTATTCAAATGGTCACAAATCACAATTCAAAAGAAATCCAGGGAAATATTTTGACGACGAAACATTTCTCTGTAAGTAGAAATCCTCCCTTCCCCTCATTAAATTATTAATCCATAGGAATATCATTAAAGCACTCTGAAGTTTTTACGTGTGAGTCATCTGATCTTCGACTTCGTATTAATGTTTGAATCGAGGAAGCAAAGCTCTGGCTTGGACGTCTTTCGGTACGCTTGAAAATTTTCCTGAAAACTTTTCTACAATGACTTCGAAATTCCTTGCTCTGAAACGCGTATAAAAATGGATTTAGGCAACATGATGAAAATCCTAGAATTATTCCAAACTGGTAATAATCCGAACTCCATCTGACATTCGACACGTCGCCATATTGAAATAAGAGATACATAATGTTATTCGGAGTCCAACATATCAAGAACGTCACCAGCACTATAAATACGATTCTTATAGTCCTCGCTTTGCTTTTCACTATTTTAAGCCGTTGTCTTCTGTCTCCTAGGGCAGTTTTTAACGTCGAATCTAGCCGATTTAAGCGTTTCTTTATACGATAAAAATTTACAAGAAAAATCCCAGCTGGTAGTATGTATTGGCTGATGAACAGAACCGAGAATATGAATATGTTTGGCAACTGCTTAGGCCAATAGTAGCAACTGGTTCCCACCGTTGCATTTGTAGCTGTGTAGCGAATTCCAACTAAAACTGGAAGCTCCCTTGCAAACCCAAAGAACCACGCTAAACCGATGTATACATAGTTCTTCGTCGTTGTACCCAATCGTGTTTTGAAAGGTTTCGTGATTGCTGCATACCTCTCAAAGCTGATAACAACCAGTATATAAATAGATACTCCTGCCAACCAAAACTGAGGCAAGTTCCCAGTGACTAATTTACAAAATATATCGCCTCCCACTCCTGTAGGGTGAGGAAAAGCGCTCGTACTCATAATGTACACAGGTAGACATATTACAGACAAAGTCAAATCGACTATGGCCAATGCCATTAGGTAGACATTGAATGGAACGTCTCTGAATCGATACTTTGGTGAACTACCACTTTTTCTGATCACTAGAATTACAGTCGAGTTTCCAAGCACGCCAATTATAAGAATAAGAGTGTAGCAGGCTAGTTCCCACGATCTTAACTCGAAGCTTGCCATTTTGTTTATATTCAAACTATACAACGTTAGACAGTTTGAGAATATTTAGTTCCGGGTTGGTTACCTTTGGTCTCAGTTGCTGACACTACCCACAAACGTGGTATTCTTTACTTCCATGACAGGATATGAATTAGTTTCTTAGTATTTTATTGCTATCACTAGAATTTATATACTTTTGCTTTGACCTTTTGCTCTGACCTTCTTTTGTGTAAACTCAGTATTAGTGACGGACGTCACCCGAAAATTGGTATATCTAATTTTGGCGGAATTTTGCATCATGGCGCTCGTGCAAGGAAGCAAAAAACTTTAAAAATCTTGCATTTTGGCATTTGTGCGGTAGATTACCAAGAACTCCAAGAACTGATACAAACACAGTTTGTAATCCAGCCCCCTCTCGCCAATCCGACGGTTCTAGAGTGCTGACAAATCCAATCCATTCACGAGTTAAGCCTGATTAATTCCACAACTTCCACAGGATTGCCACTAATTAAATTGTATTAAATTTTCTCGGATGATTGATCCATAGAAAAATTAGATCCACAAGATGGAAGAGCCTAGGAACGAGGTTGTGCACCCATGTTTGCCAAAGGAGGGCAAACTAGGAAACATTGCTACGTTTCCCAGCCATGTTTTCTCGCGGTTGGGTACAAGACATGTTTCTGAATTTCTTCGGAAACATTTTTGCGCAAATTTGGAACAGTATTTTCAACGGTAACACGCACCTCCAGAGCGACCCAGTTCGAAAGCGCAGCCCGCAAATTCATGACAGCCTGTTACTCGGGACTTTCATATGTTTGCCCAGATCCATCGCAAGGGTATTAAATCAGAGACTTTGGGTTGAATCTAGGATATTCAGAAAAAGAATTTTGAGCATGTGTTTCAATAATTTCATTTGAACATGACCACAATATATTATTCATTTCATTTCATAATGAAATTTTCATTGACTTTATTTACCGAGGGTAACACATGACAGTAAGCGTGAGCTACTAATAAATTAGTGGCCCTCATAGGCTATATTACAACTATAAACAAGAATAATTAATGTACAAAGTACAATATCATCCTAACGGACATCTATCAATAAGTCATTAAAATAGTATTAAAATAGTTTTCAAAAACTCATTAATAATTCATGAAGCAATTATCCAATCTTGAGTAAGAAATTAGTCACGTGCATACGTCTTTATACCAGCAAAAGAACACTTTAACAAAAGACCATTGTTATGCAAACTATATAAAGATTTTTATATAAAGATTTTTATATAAAGATTTGACTTATTATGCATACGTTTTTGAAGTCATTTAAAAAACTCGCGGGTCGTGTTTTATTAGGTCTAAAGCCACTCGCGCTGCGCGCTCGTGGCTTTAAACCTAATAAAACACTCATGCTCGTTTTTTAAATAGTACATTAAAAACTCATTAATAATTCATGAGAAAACACAAAGAAAAATCATAAGCGTGTCGTATCTGTACATGTGATACAGATTCATGTTGATTTACATAAACTTTAACATTGATTTTCTCGGCTCAGACAAAATTTATTTTTATATTCGAATGATCACAATTCAAAATAAATTAAACGAAATATTTCTCTGAAAGTAGAAATCCTCCCTTCCCTCATTAAATAAAGTTTATTAATCCATAGGAATATCATTAAAGCACTCTGTGTCTGAAGTTTTCACTGCACGATCATATGATCTTCGACTTCGTATCAACAATTGAATCGAGGAAGCAAAGCTCTGGCTTGAACGTCTTTCGGTACTGCGACGCTTGAAAATTTTCTTGAAAACCTTTCTACAATGACGTCGAAAATCCTTGCTCTGAAATGCGTATAAAAATGGATTCAGGCAACACGATGAAAATCCTAGAATTATTCCGAACTGATAGTAATCCGAACTCCATCTGACATTGGACACGTCGCCATATTGAAATAAAAGATACATAATGTTATTCGGAGTCCAGCATATCAAAAACGTCACCAGCACTATAAATATAATTCTTATAGACCTCGCTTTGCTTTTCACTATTTTTAGCCGTTGTCTTTCGTCTCCTAGGGCAGTTTTTAACGTTGAATGTAGCCGATTTAAACGTTTCTTTATACGATAAAAATTTACAAGAAAAATCCCAGCTGGGAGTATGTATTGGCTGATGAACAGAACCGAGAATATGAATATGTTTGGCAACTGCTTAGGCCAATAGTAACAACTGGTTCCCACCGTTGCATTTGTAGCTGTGTAGCGAATTCCAACTAAAACTGGAAGCTCCCTTGCAAACCCAAAGAACCACGCTAGACCAATATATACATAGTTCTTCGTCGTTGTACCCAATCGTGTTTTGAAAGGTTTCGTGATTGCTGCATACCTCTCAAAGCTGATAACAACCAGTATATAAATAGATACTCCTGCCAACCAAAACTGAGGCAAGTTCCCAGTGACTAATTTACAAAATATATCGCCTCCCACTCCTGTAGGGTGAGGAAAAGCGCTCGTACTCATAATGTACACAGGTAGACATATTACAGACAAAGTCAAATCGACTATGGCCAATGCCATTAGGTAGACATTGAATGGAACGTCTCTGAATCGATACTTTGGTGAACTACCACTTTTTCTGATCACTAGAATTACAGTCGAGTTTCCAAGCACGCCAATTATAAGAATAAGAGTGTAGCAGGCTAGTTCCCACGATCTTAACTCGAAGCTTGCCATTTTGTTTATATTCAAACTATACAACGTTAGACAGTTTGAGAATATTTAGTTCCGGGTTGGTTACCTTTGGTCTCAGTTGCTGACACTACCCACAAACGTGGTATTCTTTACTTCCATGACAGGATATGAATTAGTTTCTTAGTATTTTATTGCTATCACTAGAATTTATATACTTTTGCTTTGACCTTTTGCTCTGACCTTCTTTTGTGTAAACTCAGTATTAGTGACGGACGTCACCCGAAAATTGGTATATCTAATTTTGGCGGAATTTTGCATCATGGCGCTCGTGCAAGGAAGCAAAAAACTTTAAAAATCTTGCATTTTGGCATTTGTGCGGTAGATTACCAAGAACTCCAAGAACTGATACAAACACAGTTTGTAATCCAGCCCCCTCTCGCCAATCCGACGGTTCTAGAGTGCTGACAAATCCAATCCATTCACGAGTTAAGCCTGATTAATTCCACAACTTCCACAGGATTGCCACTAATTAAATTGTATTAAATTTTCTCGGATGATTGATCCATAGAAAAATTAGATCCACAAGATGGAAGAGCCTAGGAACGAGGTTGTGCACCCATGTTTGCCAAAGGAGGGCAAACTAGGAAACATTGCTACGTTTCCCAGCCATGTTTTCTCGCGGTTGGGTACAAGACATGTTTCTGAATTTCTTCGGAAACATTTTTGCGCAAGTTTGGAACAGTATTTTCAACGGTAACACGCACCTCCAGAGCGACCCAGTTCGAAAGCGCAGCCCGCAAATTCATGACAGCCTGTTACTCGGGACTTTCATATGTTTGCCCAGATCCATCGCAAGGGTATTAAATCAGAGACTTTGGGTTGAATCTAGGATATTCAGAAAAAGAATTTTGAGCATGTGTTTCAATAATTTCATTTGAACATGACCACAATATATTATTCATTTCATTTCATAATGAAATTTTCATTGACTTTATTTACCGAGGGTAACACATGACAGTAAGCGTGAGCTACTAATAAATTAGTGGCCCTCATAGACTATATTACAACTATAAACAAGAATAATTAATGTACAAAGTACAATATCATCCTAACGGACATCTATCAATAAGTCATTAAAATAGTATTAAAATAGTTTTCAAAAACTCATTAATAATTCATGAAGCAATTATCCAATCTTGAGTAAGAAATTAGTCACGTGCATACGTCTTTATACCAGCAAAAGAACACTTTAACAAAAGACCATTGTTATGCAAACTATATAAAGATTTTTATATAAAGATTTTTATATAAAGATTTGACTTATTATGCATACGTTTTTGAAGTCATTTAAAAAACTCGCGGGTCGTGTTTTATTAGGTCTAAAGCCACTCGCGCTGCGCGCTCGTGGCTTTAAACCTAATAAAACACTCATGCTCGTTTTTTAAATAGTACATTAAAAACTCATTAATAATTCATGAGAAAACACAAAGAAAAATCATAAGCGTGTCGTATCTGTACATGTGATACAGATTCATGTTGATTTACATAAACTTTAACATTGATTTTCTCGGCTCAGACAAAATTTATTTTTATATTCGAATGATCACAATTCAAAATAAATTAAACGAAATATTTCTCTGAAAGTAGAAATCCTCCCTTCCCTCATTAAATAAAGTTTATTAATCCATAGGAATATCATTAAAGCACTCTGTGTCTGAAGTTTTCACTGCACGATCATATGATCTTCGACTTCGTATCAACAATTGAATCGAGGAAGCAAAGCTCTGGCTTGAACGTCTTTCGGTACTGCGACGCTTGAAAATTTTCTTGAAAACCTTTCTACAATGACGTCGAAAATCCTTGCTCTGAAATGCGTATAAAAATGGATTCAGGCAACACGATGAAAATCCTAGAATTATTCCGAACTGATAGTAATCCGAACTCCATCTGACATTGGACACGTCGCCATATTGAAATAAAAGATACATAATGTTATTCGGAGTCCAGCATATCAAAAACGTCACCAGCACTATAAATATAATTCTTATAGACCTCGCTTTGCTTTTCACTATTTTTAGCCGTTGTCTTTCGTCTCCTAGGGCAGTTTTTAACGTTGAATGTAGCCGATTTAAACGTTTCTTTATACGATAAAAATTTACAAGAAAAATCCCAGCTGGGAGTATGTATTGGCTGATGAACAGAACCGAGAATATGAATATGTTTGGCAACTGCTTAGGCCAATAGTAACAACTGGTTCCCACCGTTGCATTTGTAGCTGTGTAGCGAATTCCAACTAAAACTGGAAGCTCCCTTGCAAACCCAAAGAACCACGCTAGACCAATATATACATAGTTCTTCGTCGTTGTACCCAATCGTGTTTTGAAAGGTTTCGTGATTGCTGCATATCTCTCGAAGCTGATAGCAACCAGTATATAAATAGATACTCCTGCCAGCCAAAACTGAGGCAAGTTTCCAGTTACTAATTTACAAAATATATCGCCTCCCACTCCTGTAGGATGAGGAAAAGCGTTCGTGCTCATAATGTAGACAGGTAGACATACTACAGACAAAGCCAAATCGACTATGGCTAATGCCATTAGGTAGACATTGAATGGAACTTCTCGAAATCGATACTTTGGTGAACTACCACTTTTTCTGATCACTAGAATTACAGTCGAGTTTCCAAGCACGCCAAATATAAGAATAAGAGTGTAGCAGGCTAGTTCCCACGATCTTAACTCGAAGCTTGCCATTTTGTTATTCAAACTACCATGCAGCCTTAGATCAGTTTGAGAATATTTAGTTCCGGGTTGGTTACCTTTGGTTGCTGCCTCAGTTGGTGGCACTAAACACAGACGTAGAACGGGGAATCTGGGAACGGGGAATGCGGAAAACAGGAACGGGAAAAGCCGGAATCTTTAACTGAAACAGGAAAGCCAAAAGCCGGAATCTTTAAACTGAAACAGGAACGCAAAAAGCCAGAATCTTTAAATAACTTCGTAATATTATTAAACACACCCCTACTTGAGTATGTGGGAGTTAATGTTCATACTTATCTAACAATAAGTATTTTACGTAACATGATTATTGGTTAACTCCCACATACTCAAGGAGGGGTGTGTTTTAAGCCTTCCTTATTAACATAATCAACGCAGCCTACGTATGGTATAAAAAATATTTTATCTTTGTATAAAACGACGTTTTTTTGCTGATGTATTGAAAAAATACAGCGCATACCTAAACAAGGAAAGTTGCCTTGTTCCTATTCCTGTGAACTATTAATTAAATTCTTTGCCTTGGCTTCATTAGATCGCATGCATTTGCATACGGTTTTTCCCAGAGATTATCAAATGTCCGGCACGTGCCAAAGGACTGACATTTAAGCCGGTTTTCCACTGCAAGCGTACCGAAACGTATCAAAAACGTTTTTAAATTTCAAAATTTCGTGAATATTGATTGGTTATTACTTCCGTAGACGATGCCAGACGTATTGAGCCGCATAATAACTATGTTTATATCGTTCTTCAGAAAAGCGCAACAAATGATATTAATATGTCATTATTCTATCAATATCCTACTCCTCTAGAGCGTAAATTTACGCATACCAAAGTTGTTGTATTCACGGAAGGATAGAATTAATACAACCGCGGGCGTTGCGTGAAATTAGAAAAAGTTAACCGCTTGAAATTACTTTTGAATACATTCTCTAGAATGGTCATCAATCAAAATTTTAAGTTTTTCGTTATAAAGGTAAAAAAAGAAGGTTTTAAACGAGCTTTGCGATTTATCCCACCGCTGACCAGCCCCTTTGTCAGAAAAAACAGTGATCTTTCACAAGCTACCATGGACGAACGGAACGGAATAATGTTTTCATTTTCCATCACGTACTAAGGAATATGACAAGTAAAGATGGTCTTTCAAAAAAAATGGACTTCCTTTAGTGGTTAATAGTCCAGCGGAAAAGTAAAAAATCATGCACTTTGTGAAGAAAGCACCCAATTCACAGGAAGTGTAGACTTTAACATGATAATGAATCTTAGATATGGAGGCATCACCAAAATTGATGCTGACGGCTTAAAATTTAGGATTTCTTATATTCTCTTATTAAACTCTATATTACTGTTTAAAATTGTGAAATTGCAGGTTCACATATAGCAAAAATGACTTGCATGATTAGAAAGCTTACAAAAAACTACATATAAGACTTTTAAACGGCTGATTGATTTTCCAAGCGGTTTTCCAGTTATTGCTATTTAAAAACATGATAAATAGGCAAAAAATCCCACCAAAGTCCTGGACACTATGTATTACATTTCAAATTAATTTTGATAGCGCTAGGCCGATAAAATTTAAATTGATTTTGATATTTTTATTTTCATTTTTGTTTTCATTTTGATTTTCATTTTGATTTTCATTTACTTTAAATTTGTTTTTTAATCTATTTTGTTTTGATAAAAGATTACATTTTAAATATCCACCATACTTATATTCTTTGACCTTCTGCTTTGACCTTCTTTTGAAAATATCATTTGAAAATATTATTTGAAATGTCATATCATATATCAGTCATATGTCGGTTATAGAGTGCTGACAAATCCAAGCTATTCACGAGTTAAGCCTGATTAAGTCCACAGGATTGCCACTAATTAAATTGCATTAAATTTTCTCGGATGGTTGATCACTGCATATCGTCTGTTACGGAAGAAGAGAGGTTCAGATCTGACTTCCACCTTCCACTACCGCTATATCTCTCACAGGTTATTTAATACGCATTTCATTGGTTAATCGGGTAGAATATAAATACATCTGATTGGTTTATAATGGAGCGGCAGTGGAAGTCCAAATCTGAATTCTCTATTTCCAGAAACCATGGCGACCGTTTGTATGGCGTGTATAAATCACCGTTTTTTTATTTTCCAGAAAAGTCAACTAGTGCTTTTGTTACAACGATGCTTGATTCAAGTCACCATCAAAACGACGCGGATAATGGAATTCCTGATATCAGGGATACGGGGAATAGGAAGAAATACGAAACGCAGGATGGTTTTGAAACTGGAAGCAGTTTTGAGGACAAATTTAATAGTTGTGTCGGTATTAAGACATTTCATACACAGACTTCAAGGCACGCTGAGCCCGAAGTAAATGCCTTGGATTACAGCGAAGGTTGGCAGGAAAGACTTTTGGAAAAAGCCAAGGAAATGAAAGCGAAACACTTGGCAAGGAAACGAAAAGTTTTGCAGAAACGACTGGTCGATGAACAAACATTAGAGGAGAAGCGGTGTCTAGTGGAACTGTATGGATCAACAGGAACCCGTAGGAATAAAAGTAACAAACATGAGGGGATTAATTGGGATAATAATGGGTCTTGGTTGATGGGTAGTGATTATGAGTCACCTACGGGGTCACTACACAAAGATATAGGTATGGGGATTTATATGGATAACCATGAATCTCAGAGAGTTGATGGGGATACCGGTTATGGATATCCAGGAATTAACACGGATAAAAGGCATGTATCTTATGGGATCGACATAGAAGATCGACATAAGGAAGACAGGACTAACATGGATAATCATGGATATCAAGCTACACAATCTGACGGAAAAGATTTAAAGCGTGTAGGGTCAAGTTATGAGAATTTTAGAAACAATCCCGTCATTATTCAACCCTATCGTTTGGAGAAATTTAACTCAACGAAAGACGAAATCTTGCTTCAAAGACTTAACCTTGACCTCGACGCTGCAGACTTGCCTGATCAACTGCGAGAACTCATACCCAGACCTAAATCTGCGCCGTCGATTCCTAGCAAGTGTCGGAAGTATGTGTTGGTCGCCACCGACTCGGAGACCACGTCATGTGATCGACCAGCACCCACCGCGCTCGAAGAAATGTTAATGTCACAAAGATTTCCAAAGTCCAACTTGGGGCAGCTTAGATCAAGGAGTTGTTCACCGCTTATTTCCGAGATAAGGCGACCGTATTCTATTCAGAAAATGCAGAATGTTAATATGTCATGTAAATAAATTTGCTTCGAAGTTAGTTTCATTTCTACAACATGTTTTTAACAACTACCGCAAATTATTTGTTTCCACGCAACAGTGTTTTCAACGGTAACACGCCCTTACAGAGCGGCTTGTAACTCTCCCGGGCACGGAAGGCCAAGTAACAGGGGATTTTCAAATGTTTAATGTTTCCGAAAAATTCTCGCATTTGGCGGATATTAAATCAGAGACCTTGGGTCGAATTCCACCAAGGATATTCAGAAAAAAATTTCGAGCATGTCATTCAACTTCATTTGAACACCACAATATATTATTCCATTTCGTACACAGCTAAGAATACTGATCTCATAGTGGCTTAGAATGACAAGTAATACAATATCCGAAGTTGATTATTATTTTTGAGGAATTGAGGGCCACTCATGACACTAATGAATGTCATTGTAATGTTCGGATTAGGACAGGGTTTAACTACTGTATCGAGGATCGTGTTTAGTACAACACTTGCAATTTGATACATATATTTCGACACTTATTAAATTTACAAGTTACAAGCCGATACGTTAAAACTAGAAATAAACATACATATAGGATGATAAGCTATACAGATCTAGACTATATAGCTACAAACGAAATATTAATACAAACTACGTACATGGTACATGTCATAATCATACCTCTGTTCCCGCATTAAAGCTCATATCGTTCAGTGTTCAATTATCGTTCTCGATCAAAAGAAAAATTTAAAAATCAAATATACTATACTACTAGCGTTCGACCTTTTGTGTTACGACTTATATTTGCCTAATTTGCAATTTTTCATTTACTTAAAATTAATTAATAAGTCATATATTACAGTAATACTTTTGTAATAGTGTTACCTTCAAAAAGTAAAGTTTGTTAATTGAGTTTGTTAATGGGTAAGATCATTATTAAAGCACTCTGTCTCTGAAATTTTTGCATGACGTCATCTCAGACTTCGTAACATTTGAGTCGAGCTAGTTTGCCCCGTATCTACTGGAGGTCGTCTGGTTCTGTCACGCTTGAAAATTTTCCTGAAAACCTTTCTACAATGTCTTCGAAATTCCTTGCTCTGAAACGCGTATAAAAATGGATTGAAGCAACACGATGAAAATCCTAGAATTATCCCAAATTGATAGTAATCCGAAACCAATCTGACATTCGACACGTTGCCGTATTGAAATAAAAGATACATAATGTTATTCGGAGTCCAACAGATCAAAAACGTCAGTAATACTATAAATACGATTCTTACAGTCCTTTCTTTGCTTTTCACTATTTTAATCCGTTGTCTTTCGTTTCCTAGGGCATTTTTTAACGTTGAATCTAGCCGGTTTAAACGTTTCTTTATACGATAAAAATTTATAAGAAAAATCACGGCTGGGAGTATGTACTGGCTGATGAAAAGACACGAGTATATGAATATGTTTGGCAACTGTTCGGGCCAGTAGTAGCAACCAGTTCCCATGTAGCGAATTCCAACTAGAACTGGAACCTCCCTTACAAACCCAAAGAACCATGCTAAACCAATATATACGTAGTTCTTCCTCGTTGTGCCCAGACGTGTTTTAAAAGGTTTCGTGATTGCTGCATACCTCTCAAAGCTGATAACAACCAGTATATAAATAGATACTCCTGCCAGCCAAAATTGAGGCACGTTTCCAATTACTAATTTGCAAAATATATCGCCTCCCACTCCGGTAGGGTGAGGAAAAGCGTTCGTACTCATAATGTAGACAGGTAGACAGATTACAGACAAAGTCAAATCGACTATGGCTAATGCCATGAGATAGACATTGAATGGAACGTCTCGAAATCGATACTTTGGTGAACTACCACTTTTTCTGATCACGAGGATTACTGTTGAGTTTCCAAGCACGCCAATTATAAGAATAAGAGTGTAGCAGGCTAGTTCCCACGATCTTAACTCGAACAGACTCAACTTTGCCATTGTGTCTTTCAAACCACCAGCTAGATAAGTTCGAGATTTAGTTCCAGGTTGGTATCCAGAAACGCTAATGTGGTATATTCCTTAACTATTTACAGAACTTGTGATATTCTAACTTTCATTCCCATGGCAGAATATGAAGAAGTTTCTTGGTATTTTATTGCCATCTGATCGTCACATGAGAATTTATATTTTTTTGCTTTGACCTTAATTAACTAAAATTCGTGGAATATACATTTAATAACTGCATAAACCACAGGCAATATCTTATGTCAGTTTTAGAGTGCTGACAAATCCAAGCTATGCACGAGTTAGCCTGAGGGTTAAATTTCCATTGAATTTCACAATATCTCAAGTTTCGTGTTAAATTTACTCTGATGGTTGACCACCGTCTGCTGCATGGTATAGTTACAGAAACCATGCACCTATTGTATGGCGTTAATTCATTATTTTTCTGATTTTCCAGAAAAATCGACTAGTACTATCAAAACGGCTCTGATAATAGATGTCTGATACCAGCACGGAGAATAGGAAGAAATACGAAAGGCAGGATGGTTTTGAAACTGGGAGCCGAATTTTGAGGACAAATTTGATAATTTTGTCAGTATTAAGAAATTTCACACATGCAAAAATTTCAAGATTTGCCGTGCTCGAGGTAAATGCATTGGATTATAGCGAAGGTTGGCGAGAAAGACTTGGCACTGTGGTGATGGATTGGTAATATGGCATCAACCTCGTTCCCAGGGTCTTTCTGGGAACGAGGTTGATATGGTGTGTACTATGTGCCATATTATACTTGATTTTACATGAAGTATTGAACATTTCGTGAAGAAGCTTTGAAAATGGCGGGGGGAAATTCACCACGTGTTAAATTGATTTTAGATTTATTTGAAATCGGTGCTTTAAAATTTGGCACTTTTACTCTGAAAAGCGGCATCGAATCGCCTGTATACTTCGACCTTCGTGTGATCGTCTCCTATCCAAAAATCATGATACAAGTGGCAGACGAAATGTGGAAAGCGACTCAAAATTTGAACTTTGCACAACTGTGTGGCGTCCCATACACCGCTCTGCCTATTGCCACTTGCATGTCGACGAAATACGATGTCCCTATGATGATAAAAAGAAAGGAAGCAAAGTCCTACGGTACTAAGAAGTTAATCGAAGGAAAATTCGAAAAAAATACAATCTGTTTGGTTATAGAAGATGTAGTCACTACGGGCTCTAGTGTTCTGGAAACGGTGCGTGATTTGGCCACAGTTGAGGTGATGGTGCATGATGCTATAGTCTTGTTAGATCGATGTCAGGGCGGGAGAGAATCGCTTGCAGATAAAGGGATAAAGTTACACAGCGTATTTACGCTTAAAGAAGTCTTGTCCATTTTAGAAGAAACCGGAAAGCTCGATAAAGTGATGGTCCAAAGAGTGAACACTTTTATCGAACAAAATAGCAATGTTGTCCCAGTGGTGGCTCAAGCTTCCAAAGCACTTGCCTACCAACAGCGTGCTACCATAGCAACCAATCCTGTTGCTAAGACGTTATTCACCATAATACACGAAAAACAATCAAACTTGTGTGTGTCCGTAGATTTGACATCAACTGCGGCCGTTCTTGAGTTAGTCAACAAAGTTGGTGATTTTATCTGCATGGTGAAACTTCATGTTGATATTATTGAGGATTTCAACATGGAGTTTGTCTCGGCCTTGCAAGCTCTGTCCCAAAAGCATAATTTTTTAATTTTCGAAGATAGGAAATTTGCCGATATTGGTAACACGGTAAAGTACCAGTATGGTTCTGGAGTATACCGAATCTCGGACTGGGCACACATAGTGAACGCTCATTCGGTTCCTGGTGAAGGTGTTGTTAAAGGCTTGAAAGAGGTTGGCATACCGAAGGGGAGGGCTTGTCTCATGATCGCCCAAATGAGTTCAGCCGGAAATTTAGCAACTGGTCAATATACTGAAGCTACAGTAAAGATTGCCGATGATAACCCTGATTTTGTGATTGGTTTTATATGTACCTCGCGGGTGTCAGAAAATCCGGCATTCATCCACATGACCCCTGGGGTGAAGTTACAATCAGGGGGTGACAACCTCGGCCAACAGTATCTCACGCCGGAAGAAGTGATTACCAATCGTAGGAGCGATGTGATAATCGTTGGGCGTGGTATCTATGCTGCTGATGATCCTGTTGAGGCTGCAAAGATTTACCAAGAAGCTGGGTTCAATGCATACAAGGCTGGACTAGAACAGTAGCAATTGTCGTGGATATATTGTAGATGTACTTTATTAATGACTTATAAAATATAATTGAGAATAACAAGAGTGACAAATTAAGTTTTCTACCAAACAAAGCAAACTAGTTTTTTTTATTTTCAGTATAGGTACGGGTTATCCATAATATTACTGAACACTAATGATGCATAATATTCTCTAGAGTGTATATCTAACATTGATCCTTAATTGACCATACTATCAGAAGTAAAACTTTGCAATAAAAATACTTTGCAACCAAATTTTGGCAAATGTTCTTCAATGTACTTTTACAGAGCACCTTCAGAAAGTTCGTTGCTGGCCCAGAAATTATGGAATAACTACCAAAAAAACGCGCCTTATACCTATTTCTTAAGCCATTTAAAATCACCGCATCTTGCTTCTTTGTTCGTGCTGTGCCCTTGTGGTCGAGCACAACAGTAAAACTGTTTACCATGGTTAGGCCCTTTGTTCTTCACAGTTCTTAAAACGCACGGCTCTTTATGTCCAGAGCATAGCGGAGCTGGTGGAAGACCCTTTAGAATGTTTTTCCAGCTTGAAACCACGGCAGCTGACTTCTCGTCTGAATTACGCGATTCTTTAGAGTAATTTTGACTACGTGCTTGTGTTTCTTCACTGGCACTGGATTGTGTGGCATTTTGACTCGAGGATTTTGTTGAATAATCGCTATCAGAACAGGCGGAAGACGTTGACGTTTGACTTGAAGTGTTTGTAGATTCAAGAGAACTGCACAATTCTACATTGTGTATGTTCAATTGGGGAACAGTTTCGGACCTTTCTTCAGAAATACCCGAATCATTTTCATTTGTGTTTGCCAAGCTATCTGCAACCACCTTTGAACTGCAGTCCGTCTGTTTGTTGCTGTCTGTCTTAGATTTCGTATTTTTCTTCTCGAAAAATTGAAATATTTTGCCCTGTGAGGCCCCTGTATTTGTTTTCAATCGTTTTGCCTGACTTTTTAGCGTCGACTGTGCATGTCGTTTATCAGAACTTTTTTGTTGGGTTTTATCTGCCGAAATTTCTTTTATTCCACTTTTACTTTCATTAACTAATTTTGTATTCCCTTTTATTCTGTTGCCACTTGCGTTCAAATTACTTGTGTTTGCATTCTTTTCGCTCTTTTTAAAGAAATCTTTAAGTTTTTGTTGTTTTCCAGAGAATTCAGGCATATACTTCGTACAGAGAGGCGGGGGCTTCGCAGCATTTCGGAAACTACTTTTCAATGTAGCTACAACAGGACAATGATCAGAACCCTCGATGTCAGGGCGTATAACACACTCAGTAAATTCTGTTTTGAAAAAATTTACACTCGAGAAAATGTAATCAATACGGGTCCCATAGTTCGTCTGTCTGGCTCCGGTTAAAGTAGACCAGCAAGTAAACGCAGATTTTTGGTCTGGATGGAAATAGCGGAAAGTGTCGATGAATTTCGTAGTTGGTGGTGCGTCGCTGGTTTTGCGTGCTTCACAAGATTCATCGTCCCCTGTTGTAGATTGAGTCTTGGCAGAACACGAGCTTGAGGGATTGACTGTGGGTTCGTCATTGCTTGGGTCCCAAATGAATGTGCTTGCCCATTGTCGGCTTGGGTTGGAATCGAATATTTTCTAGAAAGCAAACGATATGCGTAGATTTAGTTTATGAATCAGGTGGTGATGATGGTGGTGCTGGTTGATGATGGTGGTTGATAATGGTGGTTGATAATGGTGGTTGGTGATGGTGATGATGGTGGTTGATAATGGTGGTTGGTGATGGTGATGTTGGTGATGGTGATGTTGGTGATGATGGTGGTTGATGATGGTGGTTGATGATGGTGGTTGATGGTGGTGGTGGTGATGATGATGGTTGATGGTGGTGGTGATGATGGTGGTGACGGTGGTTGGTGTCTGTACTCTGAACTACGTGAAAAAGATAAAACGTCTTCATTTCATCATATTTTTCAGATAGTTGTATCGCGCATATCTAGACACTAAAACTGTCTGTAGCAGTGTGGGTAGTACCAATGTGAAAATGCTGTGCTGAGTGGTTATATTACTACCTTAAATGAGTTTCTGCTTATTTATTTTTTAAGGTAGTAATATAACCACTCAACACAGCATATCTAGAAACTTACTGGGTCGTTCGGATCACAGTGATCAATCAGTTTATGCGGGACGTTGAAATCACCCAGTACTATGACGTGCCTGTAGGGAAGAACCATAAAAATATATTTTGTAAGATGTCGGTTGCAAACTGCTGTTTCGTCGTTTGTTAGCTATTGACTAAGATGTTGTCAATCGAAATGTACTCATAGAGTGGTAGACTCCAAATGCCCTGCGGTACGAGTTCACACCTACTTGTTTTCCTGTATCAAACTTTTGCATTTCTTTTCAACAAGAGAATAAAACTTGAGTTTAAATTCTGTCCTTTCTTTATTATCCAGTTCAGCTCTGGGACAATAGAGATTTATGATAACAACATGCTTGCCTTCTGTATCTACATGTTCTGTGAGAACAGTACGTCCTTCCGCATTCAGCGACTCAAGCTCTTCTAAATGAGAGAATTTTTTAAACATATTTTAACTATTAACATACTAAATGGACAGCTCTTAATCTAGTCTGTTACATTCAGTGGTGTCAAGTAACGAAGTAAATGTACTTCGTTACTGTCCTTGAGTACTATTTTTGAGAAGTCAGCATGTAACAAAGTATACTTTCTCTGGAGTACTTTTACGTGGAACGAAGTCGTTTTAAGAAGTAACGTTTACTTCGTTTTAAGAAGTAACGATTTACTTCAATTTCGGGATAGGTAATAGGACTTCTACATGCGTCTGGGATCTCTCGTTTGTAGCTTACTTATTATTATTTATTTAACGGATTTCTTATATCTTCAACAGGGTCTGGAAAGTAGACCATGCTGTGAAATATTGTATATTAGGTGCATGCATACAATGCGTGTACTATTTTTTGTCTTTTGTTTGTCAATCCATTATACACACTACAGACAATAATACTTTTACTTTTTACTTCAAGTCAAGTATTTTTTAAGGATACTTTGTACTTTTTATTTAAGTACATTTTGCCTCCAGTACTTTTTACTCTTACTCAACTCGTTTTATTGTTAATTACTTTTACTCAAGTACAAATTCAAAGTAATTTAGGCACCACTCAGGTTACATTTACCATTTGTAAGAAGATTCTCTTCGGCAATGTCATCGCAGTCTGACACAGGCAAATGAATCCTATCTTCAGCGCCCACTGGGGTGACATGATTACGACAAAATGTTGCCACACCTAGTCAAAATTTATATTACTGCAAATACATTGAAACATAACTAAGTAGAGATACAATTTGTCTAAAAGGCACAAAGTGTGGCCACTATACAATTTTAAGTTTTTAACTAAAAATTTACAGCTAATATAGGAGAACCTGAGTAACCACTTCGAACTTTTGAGAAACTAAAATATGCATTATAGCCTTCCACAATAGCTGTCTCTTCTTCAAGCATTTCTCCTAAAAATAATTATGTAATTTAATGAAATAAGGGGGTAAGAATGGTACTTGAGCTGTTGGTAGTCCTTTGGGGGTTCAGCATCATCAATGGAAACCATGGAGTTGATGCTTGTCAGATCAAAAAGTTTTCAAACAGGCTGTTTATCAGAAGACTTATTAGGAATAGGTCCTATTGCAAGAAAGATCCACACTCCCCCCACAGAGAAAATTTCTGCTGTCATGATTTGTTTCTGATAATAATGGGTTTAACTTCTAATTTCCTCTGTGGTGGAGGTACAGATGTTTTCTGGAATGACCCAATATGATGAAGTCGACAAAAGGCAAGGCTCCCGAGTCTCATCCTTGTTTCTGTACTGCACGGCTGTCTGCACCCACTATGGCACTAGGGACCTTTAGCAAATAGGTGATGGCAACGCGACAACGACGGCCAAAACAAACTCCTTCAAATAAGTATATTAAACTTTAAGAACAACATGTCTTGTATTATCCGTTGTATGAATTTATTGCAGTTTAAGAATGTTAAGACAGAGGTTTATAGTTGAAAAGACTTCTACTAAGCCAATTTGGCGAGGACAACTTCTCGCGGCTTGAAAGGCAGACGTTGTATACAAAACGTGAAAATCTTTGGTTTGCTGTTGTAAACAGAGCAAGGACGACGTCTAAAACTCCCAAGGGACTTTAATTATACATTTTCTTTCTACACTGTCATAAATTTCATTGTATTAATAGCCGACGCCATCCTGCTAGCTAAAGGTCCCAACTGCCTCCTCTGCAGGAAATCATTCCTCATTGGATTATGGGAAGGTGACACTCCCATGATGCAGTGAGGCCATGTAAAGGATTGGCAGCCTGCTATGAAAGCCTTGGGAATGTGGATAGCTGGAATGCTGGATCACCCCTACCATGAATGAATAACTTATTTTTCTTAGCCAGCCCCTTGCATTTATGATCGACATGGAAGGTTTTGCAATATCCTATGAATGCTGCCGCCATATATTGAGACTATTGAACCAACATATATAAAAATTGACATAATACTTGTAATTTTAGTTTCTTGCAAGCAAATAATATCAGCATCCAATGAGTCAAACAGTTTCTGGAGGGACTGATCTTTCTTTACAGCTCTGATGCCATTTATATTCCAAGTCAAAATCTTCATTATTTCTATAAAGCCAATAATTCTCAGAAATTTAGAATTCCTAGATTGCCAGGGATAGAATCTACCTGTGCCCGCGATGATATGTGCACATAAAAATACTTCATGCAATACAAGTCTCGCGCTTTTCAAGAGACTGGTACTAAACGTGATTCTCGCGAGATGCACACGCATGAGCTAACCTCGAGAGAAATAGACCGCCATCTCAATTTTTCCTAATACTGGTTATTAAAAGACATGGTTATTTCTCGCAAAGTGGAAGAAACCAAGCCTTTATCTCAATACTAATTGTAAATATTGTAAAAATGAACATTTAAGCTACCGGTAGAGCGAGAAATTACCGCCTTGCGGAGCTGAATTTAGCGAAATTTCGTGCAACAATTTGGAGTTTTCGGTTCGACTGACCCGACCAGCAGCGAGTGTATGGTGTCAACGCGGTAAAAGATTTGCTTGTGTGCTCACTTTGGATTTACGAAATGGCACTTGCTTTGTAGCAGCAAGATGAAGATTGACAGGAGCAAATTGCGAAAAGCTCAATCAGAGCTGGTAAGAGTTTAAACTTGAAAGATATAAATTTCAAATTTTCAATGGACCATGTGCGAGTGCGACGTCTGGTATAATTTAGGGACTACTGTGTCGTCTTTATAATGTCTAGAGTTTATTATTTTCGTTTTTGTGGTGGTGTTGCTTTTGTTTTCGATGTACCGAAGGGGTTTGTGTGTTGTTTTTTTAGCCGTCAAATTGCCAACAACTTATTCACAAGCTAAAAGAAGCGAATGACGAAGAGACGGCGGAAATTTTAAAAGGAATTCAAACTTGGCATTTTGGAAAAGTGAGTTTATGAAGTAATCTTGAATTTACCGTAGCTGTTTCGTGTGAATATATATAAAATACCAGGAAATTTTGAAGAAATAAAACCTATCATAGTATTAACTAATATTAATGATATTAATATTACAAAAGTAAATGTACATATTTGATATATTGATGACTAAACACATAACTTGCTAGACAAGTCAAATAGAATGAAAAAGTGAAAGGGGAATGGCACTACATGAAACGTCCCCTTTACGGACATCTTGGCACAGAATAAAGTCTAAGGTACAGCAGAAGTGTAACATGAGTCGTTTCCCTTATTGTTTTACGTCCACGAAAATTTTAACTCGCTCACGCCAATCCACGTCATCCTGGCTAGTACAACCGGAAGTTTTTATCAGGTTTTGGTAGGTACAAAGTGCCGGTTGTACTAGCCAGGATGGCGTGATTGATGACGAATCGCTTGTAAAAACGCGGACAAATACACTTGCTTGAGTGAGACTTCTGCTGTACCTTCTTCTGTGACCTAGGTAACAAGGCCGGATTTTTGTAGAAATACGCTCGCACAGCCTCTAGGATGTTAGGACTCAGAACGTAGCCCCAATAAGCTGAATACATATTAGAACTTAGACGGGAAACTTGTCATAAATTTATATCAGACAAATAAATCAAGACAGATTTCTGCTCGTAACGTTGAAAAGAGACTGGGATGAAGTGTCTCCAATTTTTCGGGTTTATCCGTCCGATGGTTTTCGTTTCATATTCATACCAGAAATCCGTCTTCTAATATGAATTTAGCTAATATCAGATACAAACTTTTCTTTCCTCCCCTTCCACCAGACTGGAAAGTTTGGAAATTGCATGTCCAAGATTACAAAAATTTAATTGTAAATACATTAGGAGCATCAAAACTGCGCACCCGAGATCTCGGCTGTGCATTGCAAACTTTCCAGACTAGCCCTTCCGGACGGCAGAAATTTCCTCCGTACTCGGACTCTGGATATTTTCTGGAATGCCTCATTGATGTATTTTAGTGTGAGCTCTTCCACTGGATAGATGTATTAGATAAATTTGATGCCATACTTACCAATGTATCCAAACATGCTGAAGGAAGTGATTGGGTCCTGGTCTACGATCAACTGCATCTCAAAGACAAGGAACAGGTATCATTAGAACCATCCTCAGAGATACGAAAAACCAGTTTCATATTATTCTGACACTACAATTTACCAACGAAAAATTTGTTGGCTGAAATGGCGGTCTATATACCCGAAGATGCGAGTTCAAATCCCGCTAAAGCCAACAAATTTTTCGTTGGTCAATTGCAGTGTCCGAATAATATGAAACTGGTTTTAGGTATTGCTGTAACTGAAATTCACCTATCATTTCATTCTCTTGATAAAACATCAGAAATAAATACATGCATTAGACCTAATCATGCAGGGAGTATGCCTGACACCAAAAATACCCAAATTCCAGATCTTTCCTATTGCCTAGTGATAGCGATATCACTGCATGCCCACTGAAACGAGGAGAGTGATTTACCATTCTACTGTTTTGCACAAAATACAAGGTCTGACATACGATTTTGAAACAGGCAAAGAAGTACAAGGAATTGATATCAAACATCCTAAAATTTACTGGCCTGCTTGTTGAGCATTCCTATGCAAGACATATTTACAGTTCTATGGAGGTAAGATTTTAATAAAACATCTGGTACTTACTGTACTTGAGGATTGAGAGATACAACTACCTGGAAATATAGGCAGAACTTCAGCGTTTCGACCAAAAGCCCTTCATTGTAAAGTTGGCATGGCCAGTCTGATAAAATGTCCGATGACTGTGAGTTTGAGTCGGACATTATTATGATGTCCGATGATCTTCAGTTTGGTTCGGAAGTAAGTCTGAATGACACAAATTAATATCAGCACAATGTATTAATTCTGACTGGCAAATGTTGTGAAGATATTAAATAATTTGTGTCGTACTTATTTCCAAGCTAAAATTAACTTGCTTGCCTGGAACAGCAGTAACAATTCGACAACTTAAGCCTGTTTTCTACTTCGCCATTTCGCTCACCGCCTGCCCTCGATTACATTAAAACAACATTTCCAGTTCACTTTTTATACACTATTCTGATTCTCCATTTAACGTACAAGCCTCTAGTCCTGGGCTAGGGTACATTTTGATTTACGTTGGACAAAGCTACAGTTCAGTTGGACACCAATACATGCGTACAGTCTGGTTGGACAAACAATAAACCTCAGTTTCACTTGGGTTGGACAGAATGTTTGATGGTTACCTCTTTATGTCGGACAATTTCACGAAAGGGTCTGACAATGTCTGTGGCCAACCGATATTTTAAGGCCTGCTTGAAACGTTGAAGTTTTGTTTATATAATTTATTTCAGATAGTTGTGTCTCCCTCAATGGTAATGCTACTTACACTGGCAATAAACCTCCGAGATTATATCATAGAAATGTATTTGCTAATTTTGTTGAAAGATCTTTTTTAGAATGTTGATATCTGTATGATTTTTGTTTCCATGTAGCATCTGATTGCTCTGTTGTCAGCCAGTGACATGGAAGTTGTATTATGTGTTTTAAATGTACTCTACATTTTCAGGTATTGCCTCAATTTTGATGCAAATTTTAAGTTTGAGCAATTGACCATTTGCGTAATAGACAAAATTTTGATCTAAACAAGTCTAGACAAAAATTTCATCACAGCTTGAAAAAGCATCACAAAATTAGTAATATT